TAAAAGATAGAAAAAAAAATTAAAATCATCAAGAACATGATAATTTTGTTGTCCTATCCGTAAGATTGAAAATAACATAACTAGGTATTAGTTTCAAGTAGAAAATGAGAAAATTTTCAAGCAAATAACGCTGAATTTTCTAAGCTGTACTCATTTTCAAGTATGTATAACATTAAGTTATGTGTTTTTTAGAAATTTTATAAATGTTGTAGTTGTTTTATATGCATGGTATTTGCAGTTGATTGTTTACATATTGAGAATTTAGGAAAGTTGAATGTTATTTTTGTTTTAGTTTAATTAAATTTGTAATTATCTTTGAGTTTATTTATATTTATAGTTCAATTTCATTTTGTAACTGTAGTTGTATTTTGTTTGTCATATATATATATTGCTATCGCACTTGAGTTAGTTGTTTGTTTGTTGAGAAATTTGAAAAGTTATATGTAATTTTATTTTTTTTTAATTAAGAAAAGGAAAACAATATAAGCCTAAATATTACACATTAGAGATCAAGATACATTGAGAAGATCGTCACTAGCGAGCCGAACAAGATCGACTAAAGAAAAACAATGGGAATGCAACTCGGAGGGAACTAAAAAAACGTGGTTAGCTAAAAAATCAGCACATCGGTTGTCCTCTCTATATACATGCAAAATATGAATCGTCCAACTCCTATCCAAACGGAGTTTTATAGCTTGAATGAGGTTGGAGCAAGTATTGATCTAAATTGGTTCTTGGTGGACAATTATATTCAGATTCTGAACCACAAGCAGATTGTCCATCTCAAGAATGACCTTACGCGTGCCCAAATTTCAGGCTATATCCAAGCCATCCAGAACTCCCCACAACTCAACTTGTAAGACAAAACACTTACCGATATTTTGACCTAATTTTTAATTTAATTTACTTGTATGTGTAATTGCATTTAAATTTATTTGTATTTTTATTTGAATTTGAGTGCGTAATTATAGTTATATTAAGAAAACTATTCTTAATATATCATATGATTTTACGGTTAATTTTGTTAAATTTATTATTATAAAAACAAAGAAGAATTAAAATGAAATAAAGAGCAAAGGAAAGAGAAGAGCATGGACAAAAAATGATAGAAATTAGAAGAAACAAAAATTGAAGAGCGTAGGTGAAAAGGAAAAGAAACTTGGGGGTGTGAATGAAGAAAAAGAAAATGGACCAAACACTAAATTTGAAATGAAACCCAACCCTTTCTTTCTTTTTTTACACACGGGCCAGCTTTAGGCCCAACTTCCTTAAAACGATGGCGTTTTGAGGGACATAGATTAATGTAATTGCTCAACATTAAAAATAAAATAAATCAACTATTAGATGTAGGTTAATAAAAAAATTATTTGCTAAGAATTAATTATTTCGTTATAATATTAATTATAGTGAACGAAACAAAATTTCAAAAATTAATAACAAAATGAATTAAGTTGAAAGACGGTTTCTACGGAGGTCAACCTTATATATTTCTTTTTAGTAATGATTAATAATTATTTTTCTGAACTATTTTATCTTAAATTTTTTTTTATGAAAGATTATTAAAATAATTAATTATTGATCCCACTTTTAATAGAATAATGATAATTTCTTTAATCTAAAATTTTTTAAAAGATTTAAAAATCTTATATTTTTTTTTAAAAAAAACTTTATTCCGTTTTATCATTATAACATTTATCACACGTAAGATATTATTTATGCATATAAAAATTTATGTATTAATCTCAATGATTTAAAATTAATATGAAAAATAATCATGTATGCTGTAATAGAAATTTAATCACCTTTATTTATTTAGATATGTACTTAAAAATTAGTGCAATCACACGAGATTATTTTTGTAATTATTAGAATAAATATATTACAGTTATTTTTATATATCTTTAAATAATAATTTATTAATCAAATTTCATTATCTATCATATGTTCGCCATGCCCAATTTTTAAAATTAATAATTTAGTTTGAAAAAATTAAAATGTAAGAAATCAAATTGAAAAATGAGGGATTATATATATCTAATTTACACACAAAATTTGTTGACTTTTGCATTTCGTTGACTTCTCTTGTCTGTTTCAAATTGAGGCAAAACGGATCAACTTTTTCGGCCCAAGACTGTTTCTGTTGATTGGGCTGGCAACAGTCCAACACATACCTGCGATATATTTAATATATATATATATATGTATTATAATTATCAAAAGATTTTATAAATATATTTTTTTTATGTATTTTATGAATAACATTTTTATCATTAAAATTTAATATTCGTTTTTTTTTCAAATATAAATTATCAAATAATTTTGTTGTTTAATTTATTTGGAACACATTAAATTTAATGGTATAACTAGTTTAGTAACTGGACCAAAAACATGCTTTGTTAAAAACCTTTTTTAATTAAACTAATATTTAAATAAGAATTTATTTTCAAATTTATTAAAAAAATACAGTTCAAATATTAGAAAATTTAAAATTTTTAAAAATACAAAAATAGAAATTAATCAAATATATTTTATTTTACGGGTGAATGAGTAAACATGTATCATTTTTAACAATAATAATAACTGATAATTTTAATGCTAAATTTTCTTTTATTAATAACGAATTTTCTTACAATAATATAATGTATTTTATCCACTTGAATAATTTTGATAATCCTGAGGCTGAGACACAATTTTGTAGTTAGAATGTAGTCAACGAAGACTGCTGTTTTGATAAGGGAATCTTGACCGTACTAGCCAGCCATCTTCAACCTTAATCTCTCTCTTCAATAATTTCTTTCGTATTCCTGTTGAGTCTTCTTCAGTACTTTGCAGAGAAGCTTGAGATATGGCGGTTGGAGAAATGGAGATACCAAGCGATGGCAAAGGAGAGCCGTACAAATACAATGGCAAGATGACTTCTTTTGTGGTGCTTTCTTGCATGATGGCCGCCATGGGAGGTGTAATCTTCGGCTATGATATTGGAATCTCGGGTCTCTCTCTCCCTCTCCCTCTCCGTATATTATATTATATATATATATATGTATATTTCTCTGGCACTGTATTCCTATATGCTTTTGATATTGTGAGTGTACACACACACACACACACACACAAGAAGCTTGATGCATGCCGCTGTCTCGAAACTTTTCTTGGGTTTGCCACTAACAATTAAATTAATTATTAATTATATCGTGTTTAATTTTTATCATTTCCCAACTTTTTGGTCAATCTTAATTAAGTTAATTAAGTGTAAATTCCAACACCAAATTCATAAAAGTTCAATCTCTTAACACAGATGGTTTTAGTCTTCGATTTCCAAGTTAATTAGAAATATTTTTAACCACGTCATAGGCTATCACTAATTATATATATATATATATATGTGTTATATACTCAACCTATTTTAATAGGAGAAATTATAGATGTGATTTAACTTAAAAGTATAGTTTAATTTTGTATTTTTTTTAATCATTACCCGGGACCTAATCGTGATCTACTTCTGTTATTATATATAAAATTAATTAAAAATTTAAACTATTTTTTTTTTTATTTTTTATTTTTAAAAAATATGAATGAATTTATGTAAAATAAAAAAAATCACACCCAAAATATAAATATACAAGGATTGAACTGCAAATATATCAAAAATTCAGAGGGTGAAATTGCAGTTTGCCCTCAATAACGTTGCAACCTATTTTCTATTTTGATGGGTAAAACTAATATGACTTTGTTTAGCCAAGTGTGTTTTTTACATGTTTTTTCTAAAAAAAAATAATAATAATTTCACCTTTAGAAAATTAGTGTTTTTTGGAGTTATTTCTTCATAAAAATAATTATGTTAAGCAATTAACATTTAGTAATGTCTTTGTTAATTATTTGTTTTCTCAATCTCAATATAAAAAACATGAATGTTATAAGATGCTTTAAAAACATAGATAAGTACATAAACATGACTGACTAATTTTTAAATTTATGTAAAAAATTACACAAACAAAGTTAAAATGCACCAATCACATTTACAACAACTTATAATTACTCTGAAAAATATTACTCAAAGAAATAGTTTACTGAAACTTTTTGAAACTATCAAGGAGGAGTGACCTCAATGGAGCCATTTCTTCATAAATTCTTCCCACAAGTCTACACAAAGATGAAGGAGGACACCAAGATCAGCAACTACTGCAAATTTGACAACCAACTCTTAACTTTATTTACATCTTCCCTTTACATAGCAGGCCTTGCGGCTTCTTTTGTGGCATCTTCTTTTACTAGAGCCTTTGGTCGTAAGCCATCAATTCTTGTAGGAGCCACAACTTTCCTCGTAGGCTCTTCTCTTGGTGGTGCAGCCCTCAATATCTACATGCTCATACTTGGTCGCATCTTGCTTGGCGTTGGTGTTGGTTTTGCAAATCAGGTAAAAATTATTACTCATTCCATAAAATTTAAACTTTATATTTTGATTTAGATTCCTTTTCCATTTTCAATTCACTTGCATGTATAGTCTGTTCCTTTATATCTATCAGAAATGGCACTGCCAAGATACAGAGGGGCAATCAACAACGGCTTCCAATTCAGCATTGGCATTGGAGCACTCAGTGCTAACTTGATTAACTATGGAACCCAAAAAATCAAATATGGTTGGGGTTGGCGAGTTTCTTTAGCCATGGCAGCACTTCCAGCTTCAATCTTAATATTGGGTGCAATTATTCTCCCTGAGACACCCAATAGCTTAATCCAACGAACAAACAACTACCATAATGTCGAATTATTATTGCAACGTATACGAGGTGTAGATAATGTGCGGGAAGAGTTAGATGATCTCATCAAAGTAAGCTCAGAAGCAAGAATTACAAGTAACCAATTCAAAAAAATCTTACAAAGAAAATATAGACCTCAACTAATTATGGCAGTAACCATACCATTCTTCCAACAAGTGACAGGTATTAATGTTATTGCCTTTTATGCACCACTATTGTTTAGGACAATTGGCCTTGGTGAAAGTGCTTCTCTCATGTCATCAGTTGTGCTGGGTATTATGGGTGTTAGCTCAACATTCATATCAATGCTTATGGTGGATAAATTTGGACGAAAATTGTTGTTCATGGTTGGGGGTGTGCAAATGTTTGTGTCACAATTGATGGTTGGAGGAGTGATGATGGTTGAGATGGGTGATCATGGAGGGCTGAAGAGTAAAGAGTATGGATATTTTGTTCTGGCTCTTATATGTGTGTATGTGACTGGATTTGGATGGTCATGGGGTCCTTTGGGATGGTTAGTTCCTAGTGAGATATTTCCTTTAGAGATTAGATCCATAGGGCAGAGTATTACAGTTGCAGTGAGCTTTATCTTCACTTTTATTGTTGCACAAACATTTCTTGCCATGTTATGCCACTTCAAGGCAGGTATTTTCTTTTTTTTTGGAGGATGGATGGTGGTGATGACGATGTTTGTCCAGTTATTATTGCCAGAGACCAAGAGCATCCCAATTGAGAAAATGGAGAATGTGTGGAGGGAGCATTGGTTTTGGAAGAAAATAATGGAGTAAATTATCGATAATTGAATGAGTTTAACATCATTCTTGTGAAGATGCTATACTAATTTTATTTGTATTATATTTCTGCTCATATCATATCTCTAAAGGACATTAAATGATTTTACAGTATTAATGGATTTGAGTACATATCAAGATACATTTTCTACATAATATGTAGAAAAATAATTTTTTAATTAGATGATTGATATTTTATTCATTCTATCATAAGA